CAAGGAGATATTCTACGAAGAAAATAAATATGGAAGCAGTATGCTCCACAGCCCATACATTAGACTAAACCACAGAAAATTGTCATCTCCTTGATCTCACAGAGATTTGCCTGCCTCTGCCTCCTCGGAGCTGCGATTACCCATGCACCACCACTCCAGGCTGAAATTGCAATCTTGTAGGCAATTCTGAATGGCTCAAGGTAACAGTACTTGAATACATAAACAGAACTAATGCCTGCAGCTATTTTCTTCTCCTCTTCAATATATTTCTGCCTGTAACTTGCTGAATAGAATTCATCTGAACTTATAGTCACCAACAAATATATCAGTAATTATATAGTCAAAAAACCAAAATGATAAAATTATCTGCTTTGAATGAATCATACAGTAAGACAGCTTCCATAATTGAGTCTGACAGTGCCAAATCATGTCTGAAGTAAAACACTGTGTGATCTATCATCAAACAGTTATTTCCAAGAGCTGGTAGAGGGAGAGAACAAATGTGTCCCAGCACTCACGTATGTCATGGGAGCACAGGAGAAACGCCTTAGAGAAGCAGTAACAGGTTTTGCCCACTGTGCCGGCTATTAGCATCAAGAACATTTCAGTCCATCTCTACCATCTCCACACTGTGGACCACCGTCATCCATTCACATTTTGATACGCGGCCTCTGCTAATAGATTTTATCCCTCTGTACTTTTCTATTTTGTTATTATTTGGGTCATATTTCTTGTTAAAAAAAACATTCGGCCCATCTAGCCGCAATATAAATAAAAGCTTTTACTACATGAGTAAGGTCAATTTGTTCTGTTTTGTGGATGGAATAATGTGATTAACTACAAGGTACTGCAATCTAAAATGCTTTCTCATTTCATCAGCCTAACAAACAGGAAAGGCTCTGAACTGAAACTATACATCACGGTCAGGCATTTCATGACTAGGCTTCAAATACATACACAAACATAGCTACACAGAAATATATATTGCATATGACAGTATATCTAATTTTATTAAAAGTACAGAAAAAAGTATCTGATATTTTCCTTCACTATTTCCATTATTGTTTTACTGATACACAAATTTGTATCTCATTTCCAAAACACTAACTTTATTTACTTGTCTAATTCACTAATAACAATTTAGGAACACAGTGTACACAGTCAAAAATAAGACATATTATTATTGCTGCTAGTAGTTCAAAACAAGTATCGGACAATGTTAAAGAGCTAATGTTCAACCTTGCTTTTAAGTACAGTATAGCAGGTATTTCCTTAATGTCCTGGAGCATAATTGTATATAGCTCATCAGGTAACATCTATATCCTAATTTATGTTCTTACACATTAGGACCAGAAAAGTCATAAAACTGGGAAGAGTTGTAATATTGACACTTATCTGCTGAATAAAGGACAGCAATGCATGCTTTTCTTCAGAATTCTGAATGCATTAAATTATAACTTGTATAGCTCCAACATTACCTGACAATGAATTCTTATAAATAATACAATCCTCAGTTTTTTATACTTTCAGCTAACATTGTATTGAAGTTTCTTCTTAAAAATATATTTAGGCCTCAATGGCTATCACTGATGTTACATGATGATTTCAAAGCAATTCCAAGTACCCTGCATAAGTGCTGCTAGGGTCCAGTTTTCTCAAATGTACATTAGCACCTTAGCCAAAGAGACGGAGGAAACCGAAAATCACACGTATGACTTCTTTCCCTTTTGCTTATATCCCCTGACCTAAGTCATTTGGAGGTGAGGGACACTGTAGTGTAGCAGGAAAGAGTTCAATAACTAGAACTCAACTATGGGCAGTTCATAAATGAACTAGTAGAAAATATCAAAGACAGTCAAAAATGCTAAAATGTACAAATTCATAATATCCAGCCCAATAGCAGTCATTTCGCTGAAAGGAAACAACACATTGTGCTGGGACTTACCTCCTCTAAACAGTACAACGGCTGAGAACCTTGTCTTTAAACACGTTATCAGCAAGGTTTTTAGAACATGGAGATCTTAAGTTCCTATTCATACTTACTAGTCAGCTTAAAACACAGAACTCAGGATCTCATCAAATGGTGTTTGTTAGCAATAAAAAGAAGTCATATAAAGGTGTGTGGGTAACAAATCATGGTGGGGAGTGGGGTGGAAGAGAATAAGAAAACTGTACTCCTCTCTGCACACTGAGGTCTCTGTCATTGCTATTTACATCTGTCCTTTTAATAGTTACAGACGATTACCAAGCGTTTCACTCTAGTGCCTGGTACTTAACTATACAAAATATCACTTTTACAAAATGCTCTATGGTCTGAATGTCCCCTCTAAATTCATGTTGAAATTGAACTGCTATTGCAACAGTACTGAGAGGTGGGACCTTTAATAAGAGGGGCTCAGATAATACAAACAAAATCTCATTTCCCTCAATGAGATAAAGTACGAAGGCCCAGAGGTTGGCACCTTGGTACTGGGTTTCTCAGACTCCAGAACTGTTAGCCAGTAGGTTTCTGTTCAAATTATCTGGTCTTTGGCATTGTGTTACAACAGCACAACACGAAGCAAGGCATGTCCTATGGTAAACTTTCTTTTTATCCCAGATCTCCAGTATAGGTAGTCTCAACACAATTCTTTCTGTATCTACTTTTAAGATTTATTGTGTGTATGCTTGCTCACATGCATGCATCTCTGTGCAGGTGCCCACAGAAACCAGAAGATGGTGTTGGATCCCCTGGCTGGAATTACAGGCAGTTGTGAACCATATCACGTAGGCGCTAGGAATGGAACTCTGGTCCACTGGAAGAGCAGGGGTACTCTTTTAATAGCCGAACCACCTCTCCAGCCCTTCAATACCAATTTCTAATGAACAAACACCTAATTACTATGAACCTTACCATTTTTTTTTATAAAGGGAAGAGAGTATTTCATTTTAATAAAACATACTGCCTTGTTCAGCAATGTTTATTTCATTCTGCCACGTTTGCTAATGGAGAATGCAGGGGTGATCATTGGTAAGCAATCCTGTGAGTACCCTAACATACTATAGGGCAGGTTGTCCATATTTTCTATCTGAACAAACAATGAATAAAGACATTTTAAGAATTTATCTTCACTTGAGCCTGGAGTTAGATGTAGTGCCATGACTTCACATGTACTGTTAGGACTAAGGTAAGGTTAACAATTGTACCATTTCTCTTCAGGAAGCAGGTGGCATCATAGTTCTATGTTCTGCTCCAACAAAACCCACAGACTGGGTATTTCAAAAACAGTATAAAAACACTTTCCAGGTCTGAAGTCTGACATGAAGGTACCACCATGAAGGCCCCAGCCTCTCGGTGGCCAGAGCTGGCTGCTCTTGGCTCCTTAGAGGATATCTTGTCAGATCTTCTAGAAGGAACACTGAATCCTCATGTAGTGGGAGCAAGAGAAGCCAGTTTCGTCTAGCCAGGCTATAAAGACACCAAACCACTGATGGGTTGATTCTTTCATAAGGAATCACATCTCAAAAGGCCCCAACCTCTTAATACGACCCACAAGGAGGATTACATCTAAATGGAAGTAAAAAGCAGAAACTGTAACACCATTAGCAGTTGGAGTCCACTTTCTAAACTCTAAAGATTAACTGATTCAACACCACCTTGGAGAACCAATCCTGAGATGCCAATCCATCCTGAGATACTAAAGATATAGAATTTGTAGGTAGTTTCATTTCATTACCTCCATCCCAGGCTCCATCCCTACTGCTACCCAAACTAGCTCACTGAAGTTCAATTGCCAAGGAAGTTACAGTAATATATTTTCCCCGAAATACCTGCAGGCTAAGAATAAACCCTGAAATTAAACACGGGATGGCTGTTTCCAAACCATCCAGGTGAACTGAGGCACCTCAAAGCTGCAAATGTCACAAATTAAGAAAGAATGCACATTGAGCCTAATGGTTAAGGCACCAACTTAATCAAAAGCAGGGAGCGAAATACAGAGTTCAGGAATCTGAGGTATATAAATTATTTATCTTTTTAAAATCACTACCCTAATGATTAAAAGCTCCGTTTTGTATTCTTACAGAAGAGTTCAGGGGCCTTTCATTCTTTTGACATATAATCTCACTCAATTCTACCTATCAGAAGTAATCTACAGACCAGAAAAATATGCCCAAAGTATAAAGATAATTCCTAAAAAGATATCTTCAAAGAATGCTGCAGTCAGCTCATTCTGTAGGGAGTAGAGGGACCACGACACAACTAGAGCTGACAGGCTGTGGAAAAGTAGTCTCCAGACCACTCCACACAAAGAGAATATTCCAAGAGTCTCAAGGAAGGAAAGACTAGTAGGTACCACTCAGTGGGAAGTACAAATCTGACAAGAAAAAGGCAGTCTAGTTTCCTTCAATTCCTTGCCATCCTATTAGCTAGTGGCTTTAAATTACAGTCTCTTTGGCTTCCTAGTTACTAAATGACAGATGGAACAGAGTATGCTGAGGGCTTGTTTTAGTTCTCTAACTACTCTTGTTTTTTGAGACGGGGTCTCCCAGTAGCCCCAACTGGCAGACCAGGCTGACCTCCATCTCACAGAGATCCACCTGCCTCTCTGAGATTAAAGTTATGTGCCACAACACCTGGCTCCGTAAATTACTCTTACGTTTCTACCAATAACATAAAACAACACTCACTCTTCATTTACTTAAAAATTACAAATTAATTCATAAATTCAATATGTATTTATCAGGCATGTAATCTGTGTCAGGCATTTCAGAACCCAGGGAAGAAGACATATTCCTAAGTACATTTTAAGGTCAAAGTGACTAAATAGTAAAGCTTTCTGAGTAATGTCTAGGTAATGGAAAGCTGAGTAGACAATGGAAGTCTGCCTATGAATAATATTAAACAACTATTCAGAGCCTCTGCCAATATTATCCTTTTTCTCTATACTCTTGAATTGCTTAAAAAGTTAAGTTTATTTAGAGAACTCTTGCACTTACAATCATCATCAATTACAAAAGCGTTAAGTTTAGAAAAATACTTTATTTTAATAAAGACTCTTAATAGGACTTTTAACATCATACTTTAAGATTATACTACAACCAATGTTCAGTGTATTATAAACCATGTTTACTAGGTGGAGGCAATGTAAGATATGATTCAAAGCTTTACTTAAATATTACATTAACTGAATTTCTTTCCCAAGATTAAAATGAAATTTTCCTATGAACACCATTTCACAAAGGTTACAAATATATATGAACTTACAGCTGACTCATTTAGTATTTTACAGTTTAAAAAAAAATCTAGCTCCATAATACAATTTCCCTTAAAAAACTAACAATCTGAACAGTTCACATTTCTCTGGAAATACATGGATATACTTAATAATAAGGTCCAAAATGAGAAGAATTACTCTCTCCAGGAGAGGGTGGAGGAGGAGGTGGGGGAGGTGGTGGGGGCAGGGAGTATGATAAATTAAGTAAGGGATGAGAAGCCATGTTAGGTGCAGCCCAGCCCACGCTCATGGACGGAGGTGGTGGAGGTGGTGGAGGAGGGAGTGAAAAGTTATGCATATCAAACATGGGTGGAGGGAAGGGATACTGTGGCATGACAGGACTGTCTTGTCTTTGAGGTGGAAATCCCAAAGTCTCTTGAGATGCCATAGGATCTGAGTTATAAAACTGCTGAGGAGGCAACCTGCCTCTACCATGGCTGGCTCGATGGTATCTACCCCTGGGAAAGCCTCTTGTGAATTCTCTGTTGCGATATCCTTTTGAATGTTCTGAAGGAGAGCCAAATGCATTCCAATTCTGATGTACTTCACCAAAATCTTCACCTTTGAATGGGAGAAGTACATAAAAACAAAATTAAAATTTAGTTTCATATATCAGATTAGTGTAAAAATTTTTATTTCTGGCACTTGAGAGATGGTTTGGTTTGTTCCTAGTACCAACACAGCAGTTAAGCCTGCAGCACTTAGACTCTCAAGGCTGAGCAGCAAGCCCAGACTTCCTTGGCAGCCTGTGCGGAGGCTCCTCAAACCCCCCACCCAGGGCATTGTCAAGGGCAGGGTAATGAGGACACCAGTACCAAGGCCTCCTACCCCAGCAGTGGTGCAGAACAAGTAAACCACCTGCACACTACTGATGAAATGTAACATGGCAGCACCACACTAAAAGCAGCGTGGCAGTTTCTGAAGAAACTAAAGAGGTGATGCAGCACCCAGCAACTGCACTCTTGCCTGGTATCTGTCCCAGAGAAGTAGAAATTTGTTTTCACATAAAACTCTGTACATAAATATATATAGCAGTTTTATTCTTGATAGACAAAAAAATGGAAACAAGGCAGATGCTCTTTAATGAATTAATGGTTAAAGAATGTGTGATCCATTCCTACCATGGGGCAGTACTCTATAAAGAGAATAAACTATCTATCTACATCTAGTAGTTTGAACGGCTAAGGAAGAATGATGAGTGGCAAAAGCAAAGGTATAGCTGTGATATACTGTATGATATACTGCAGGATGGCATTTATACACCATTCACGAAATGAGCAAGTATATCAAGGAAACAGAGAACAGGATCACAATTTAGCTCAGTGCAGAAAACCTTTATGTGCCAGGCCCACTATCTATCTACATCTAGTAGTTTGAACGGCTAAGGAAGAATGATGAGTGGCAAAAGCAAAGGTATAGCTGTGATATACTGTATGATATACTGCAGGATGGCATTTATACACCATTCACGAAATGAGCAAGTATATCAAGGAAACAGAGAACAGGATCACAATTTAGCTCAGTGCAGAAAACCTTTATGTGCCAGGCCCTGTCTGATTCCCAGCATTACAGGAAAAAAAAAAAAAAAAAAAAAAAAAAGAAGAAGAGAAAAAAAGAGAGAGAGAGAGAGAGAGAGAGAGAGAGAGAGAGAGAGAGAGAGAGAGAGAGAGAAAGAAGAAAGAAAAAAAAAAAAAAAAAAAAAGACAGCAGCAGAGAAAGAAACAGACAAATGCTTGCCATGAGTTGAGGACGGAGAGAACGAACCAGCAGTGGCTAGAAAGGCAGCATGGAGGATGAAGAAGAACTCTGTTCTGATGAGGTCAGCGTTGAGTCTTGACTGTCTTAGGTCAGTAATCTCAGTTGTGCTATACTATCAAGTTTTGTAAGACATTAAATTGTAAGAAACCAGACAAAGAGCACACAGTATCTCTCCAGTTGTTTCTTACAAATGAAACTGCCATTATCTCAAAAAGTTCAAGTTTAAAAAAGAAAATATTAGAAAAAGGAATGCTAAGAAAAAGTGTGACTTGGGTCTTAAGTAGTGGCACAGCAAATTCTAAAAATGGAAGCAAAGAGATTTCTTAAAATCATGCTGATAAGCAGATGAGTCTAACAGGCTCAGCTTGTTACTCTAAGAAGACATATCCTAAAACCACCACAGAGTAATGATGTGACTCAGACAGTTTATTATTGACAAACTTAGATACAAATGAAGATAAAGAATTACTGACTATGACTATATAATGTACTCACTCACCTGTCTCATTAAATTCGGATTTGAGTTTTTTCCGGCCCTGAATCTGAGATTTTTTCCTTTGTTTGGCTTCTTTTTCTTTTTCATCATCACTGAAATCTAATGCCTTGCAAACAAAAGCACACAAATGTACAGATTATGGATTTTCCAACATAAAAGAATCAAACTGCTATTTACCAGGTGACCAAGAAAATAAGTAGCTCTTTCAAAACTTAGTATCTGAATTAACGGCAAGAACCGGAGTTTTTTTTTTTCTAAGAAAACCCTAATGGATTTCATTAAGCTCAACATGTGGGATTACTTTTTTTTCCATTTGTTTCTTGAGATATGGATATTCCCTGGCAAGATGCCTAACTTCTTGCTCAGATTAAGATTCAACACAATGACAAGACAGTAACCAAGACTAAACTAATTTTATATATTATAGATCCAACATAGAAATAAAAGACACTGACCGATGATTTATTCACTCGAAACCACATACATACCCACCATATGTCATTGTAAGTTATTTATATGTTTAATTATTTACAAGTACACAGTATTAATTCTGTTTAGAATGATTTCAGAAATATAAAACTTACCAGTAAATAATTGGGAAAATGAGTAAAAAATCATGGCAATGTTACTTAAATAGAATTATAGGAAAAGGCTTTCATAAACAGATGATACTCACTTGACTCAAATCCAGCAGGAATCATTTTAAATTACAAGTAAAAAACTCATATGTAATTAAAGATTTACTTACTGTTATAGCCTACGAGAAAACCAAGATTTATGAGCAGTATCACTGTCATGATTTCTAACAGTTCACGTGATTTTTCTAGTAACACTAGAAAACAGGAATTATGTTTCATACTAACAGTTATGAAAGCAGGCAGGCTCCCTGTGTAGGCATATGGCCATTATTTTAAAAACCCACAAAATCCATTTAAGAGTCTCTCTGAAATGTTCAGTATGGCCTTGCTAAAATATACTCTAGATCAAATTCTCCATGAACCAATAGTCCAATTACTTTAGATTCTAAAGTCAAATTCAAACACAAACCCAAGGACTTCAAAAGCATGTAGCTCAGACTGGGCGGTGGCTGTCACCTGGCTTCACCCTCCAGGCAGGCATCAGCTAGTAGTAGCTGTTCCCTTGCTTCCTCTTCTTCTGTCACCCTCTTCCACTTTCTCCCTTTCTCTTCCATTCTTTCAAAACCGACTTAAGGGCTACGGTTTACTTAAGCTCAGGTAAAGCATGGTGTGTGCGAGACACTAAAAAGTACTGAGATCAGACAGGAGACATTGAAAAAAATACTATGATTTAGTCTTGTAGGAGTACGCAGGTGAACAAAGAGAAAGAAGGAAAAAAAAGCTTCTGGCATGGACAGGGAGTGGGAAAGGTACGTGCGAGACAAGAGCCAAGAACACACAGGAGTGAAAACGGTAAGGCAAACTAAAAGCTTTTCTCTCATCAATAAAATTAAGTAACTGTATTCTTCTCAAGAACAAAAGGGAGAAACTGAAAATTTTTAATTGGGAGGAGTTTTAAAGGTTACTTTGATGAAAATTTGCTATCATTTCCTGAAATCATTGCTGTTATATATAAACTAAATTTGCATTCGTTAAAACATTTAATTCAACTATAAATTACACATTTGTGTTAGAACTGAATATAAAAATGTGTAAGATGAGTAAGTTGCATTTCTAAGTAACTCATCTTTTATGCCCAGAATTTTCAAGGGGCAAAATTTCTCTACCTTTTATAAACAAATTCTAAGCTAAGATCAGCATCAAGAAATAATTCTGAATTCATAAAATGTTATTAACAACTACTATAAAATTAAATACCAACATTTTTCAAACTAGTCTGCCACCTGGAAAAAGCAAACATCATGTGGGCATCTGGGATTTAATTCTGTAATAACCTAATCAAACCAATTTCACAAGCAATAAATATTACCGGAACTAGTAACTTTAATCCTTAGGCCTAATAAAGGAATGTATAAAACATATGTGGATTGCCAGATACTTTAAAAATGTACGATTTCAGTAATAAAATGCCCTATACATAACAGAAAATGTAAATGAATACACAGTATTAATGTTACTAGACAACATTTTACCATGGAGACTAAGCTAGATCACTCCTTACCTAGGTTAAGTCACTCATGCCTATAAAATCTCTCTAGGTGGGTATAAACCTCATACATGCCTTAGTAAAACTAGAAATTAACACAGGCCATGATTTTCAATGTTGCTTGAGATTTGTGAAATGTTCAAAATTAAATCCTCAAATATTATATCCAAACAACAATATTAAAAAATCTTTAGAACTGAGCATAAGAAAATCTGTTTAACCTAACACATTAAACCAAACAGTCATAACTCATTTACATACTATTCCTAAATTAATTACAAATCTCTAAAAAGATTAAATTATTGGTGCATCTTAGAGGATAAACAGTCCTGCTGATGTCTATACAAAAAGAAAACTCAAAGGTTGGCTTTCAGAAAATTAACCTTTATAAGAACATGAAGAAGCAGGCAGCTACTAACGCTTTTGTATTTCTAAAATGCAGGTTTACTATTAAAAGCACCAGAGATCCTACCTGGACAATTTACTGACTCGATGATAAACTGTTTTAAGTAAAGATGTTCTGCCCTTATCATTTATCAACAAAGTTCATAAAAATGGGAAATCAGAAGGCAAATAGTAAGCTGACAAAGTAATTAAAACTGTGTAAGACTAAGCCATGCCCTGTTTTGTAAACTATTATGTACAAAGGCCCATACTTACTTCTGGAGGTGGCTCCTGATCATTCTTCCATGAGGCATCTGACCCCCTATCCCTAGAAGAAGATTAGATTCTGGTAAATGCTTACATAACCTAGCAGGACAGAAAATAAAAGTAGAGGATATGAGCTCAACCTTTAGTTTTATATGAAAACAGGCAAAAACTAGAAGACCATTTTTGTATCCTTTACCTATCTCAAAAATGTGGGCAGCTTATAAGACCCACATAAGACTTGGATGAAGGTATCAAAATGTCTGGTTTTCCTTTGGGGATACCTGACCTTTGTGTAAAACTTCAACACCAATACAGATCAGAAGAGATTCCAGCTGCTACAGACATATAAACAAATTCTTTTTTCCTCAATTCACCCAACGTATGTCAACAATTCTCTGTGAGTAACCAAGACACATTCCAGGGCCTCTCGAAACAAGGAGGGTGAAGTACTGACTGACTAGTGTGGGTAGGAGAAACACCGAATATTCTGAGTATAGTCTACCACAGCAACATGTCAAGTAAGTAACCAGAGCTGAAAACAACTTTTGGTGGGAAGTTTCATTCTGTTGGAGAAGTACAAGTACTGATTAAGTATCTTTGTTAATCAACAATAATACAAGTTATTTTGATGGATGTCCTCACTACTTTAAATGAGATCTTAGAAATAAATGAGCTTCTTGGGAATTAATTCACCAAAATCAATGGGCCAGTGCCAGTGAGATGTCCCAAAATGAAAACTAAGTGGTTTAAATTTTTGATTCAGAATTTTAACGTTATGTATGGAGCAATACCAGTGATTCTTTTATTGCTTGAAAAAAATAAGGCAATTGTCATAATCCCAGTGTTCCTTTTTGACTGTATATAATACATCTAATACATCAAATGATAGGGAGTATCCATATTCTACAGTTTAAAGGTTGAGGAAACCTTCCCTAGCTAATGTATCTACCACAGGAAATCAAAACTCCCTAAGGGGAAGATCAAGCAACAAGACAGTAAGTATACGTGAAGCCAAGACAGAACTAGCCTCACCAGAAGGGGGAACGGGAAAGAAGCTGAGCTCTCCCCTCAAAGCGAAACTCTGTACCCAGGGACCAGGAAGCACCAAAATGCATGGGCAGGTGGGGTTTCTCCACTACAGCCTCATATCCAAATTCTCTGGTTTATTCTATTTTTTTTTTAATTTTTATGTGTACATGGGTACTGCCTGCATGTAGGTAAGTGCACCCGTGTCATGCAATGCCTGAGGAGGACAGAAGACACTGTCAGATCCTCTGGAACTGGAGTTACGGACAGTTGTTGGCTGCCATGTGAATGCTGGGATTTGAACCCAGGTCTTCTTCAAGAACAGTGTTCTTAACTGCTGAGGCATCTCTCCAGCCCCTCTAGTTTATTCTTTTTTTTTTTAAATTGAGCTTTAAAATTTCATACATTTCCCACTCAAATTCAGAGCTCCTCCCCCATCCATGCCTTCCCTACTGCGCCACAGTACCCTACTGAGAACTGTAAATCAAGAATAAAGACTGCTTTAATTTAGCATCTATTTAGTAAACATTTTTAGAAAACCTTTTGAATTACTTATTAAGGTAAAACATCTGGCATACACTGAGCAGCATCTTAATATTCAAAGCAGCATTATTTTAAAATACAAAACCTTATGACTTATTAGCCATTTAACTGTTTGCCTCTCAACAATTATTTAGGACAATTAACCTTGCACAGCCTCAAATAATTTAGGTAAAATGGTTCTCTTCACATTCTTAAACACGACTTGTCCATTATGAAGACCAACGTTTTCATTTCTGAAATAATAGGTGCAATTAAGAGATCTGCTTTAATGTAAACTAGCGGACGCCTTCTTTCCTGAGCAGCTGAAACTAACAATTCTGATAAAGTACCAAAGCCAATGAAGTGCCTTTGCTCCCTGAAGAGCTGATCTATAAAACTCCATAGCCAAAGGCTAGCAGGGTGGACGAGGACTTGTGAATTAGGCACTTGGGAAGAAGAAGCTGGACACTCATAAGTTTGAGTCCAGCTACGGCTCCACGAGACACTGTCTTAACCAAAACAGCATTTTTTAAGCTTAGAATTTCATTGGAAATAATCTTCCTTATATCATAATACTAACATCGAGGTAGTCTATATAATAAAGTGTAAGACAGAAAAAAAAAATCCAAAAGAACCAATGAGGTAGATGAACAGTTTGGAATTGACAAGTCAGGTCTACATAGTGAGTTCCAGGCCAGCTGGAGCTACAGTGAGACACTGATATCTGTATGTATTTGTAGGCAGACAGATAGACAGGATGATAGATGACAGATAGAATCACCTATGAGAATTGTTTTGTGTTTTTTAATTTTTAAAGTTTAATTTTATGTGTATGAGTGTACTGCCTGCATGTATGTAGGTGCACCTATGCCATGCAATGCCCATGGAGGTCTGGAGGGGGTCAGATGCCCTGAAACTGGAATTACAGACAGCTGTTAGCTGCCCATGTGGGTGCTGGGATTTGAATCCAGGTCTTCTGCAAGAACTGCTAGTGCTCTTAACCACTGAGCCATGTCTCCAGTCCTGAGAATTATTCTTAAAATATAAAAATGATTGATATCATGAATTGATGATACATGAAGAACATATCAATACGATACTTACTTAAGTTTTTCTGTGAATATATACTGGGTGAAGTCTTTCATTGATGGGGCAAAGTACATAGTCTCCTTTATTTTAATACCTTTACTCTCAATATGATCTGAAGAATTAAATCGTAACACATAAAATGGATGTGCAACAGGTCCAAATATCTCAAATACCTACAAAAAAGACACATAAAGGTCTCTTTTAGTATGTATCTTTTCATAACGATTTGAAAAGTTAGCAACATTTTCTTTTTAAAATTACTGGTAACTGCTGAAAGAAAGCAATTCTATGTTAGAACAATAAATTACTTACTTCTTTTTTGCAAATTGAAAGTTTGTTTCTGTCTGGTAAAATTTAAACCATTTTGGTGGCGCCTACTAGATGCTAATTATGAGTTACAAGCTATAAAATTATAATCAGTAACTTCTGAAAATAAGATGCAGTCTACAATTGGAATCTTATGATGGGAAACATAAAAAGCAAGATTCTTGTTCAAAAGATAACAGGTCAGCTCTGTTGTTTTCACACAGCATTAGCATTTTATTAAAAAACTAAATTCTGACTCTGGTGGTGCATGCCTTTAATCCTCCCACTCGGGAGGCAGAGGCAGGCAGATCTCTGTGAGTTCAAGGCCAGCCTGGTCTACATAGTGAGTTCCAGGACAGCTGGGGCTACAGGGAGACTCTGTCTCAAAAAGAC